GGCATCAAGGGATGTAGCGTGGCCTATAGTAATTGTTTGGTGGGTCTCTTCCCGCCTGGTTTCTTCATGCCTGGTGGAAGTGGTGGACGGTTTGTTTCTGTAGGAGTGGTTTCCCCATTGGTGGTTCAGTTTTTCTCGGTGTGTGCCGAAGAATCCGGAAGACTGGCATTCGGCCTGTCGGGGTTTGGAGTTTTGTTTGCTTCTGCAAACCTTTGCGATGTGACCTCGTTTCCCACAAATGCGGCAGAATGCGTCGAGGAATTTGCAGCTGGATCGTGGGTGATTCGCCCCACATCCTGCACACGGTCGGGATGAGAGTTGTGAACTGGTCTCGTTCCGTTCGGAGTCGGTTGACCTCTTCCTCATCGCTTTCTGATGGGGATTCTAGGTCTTCGTGGTGAGTTGATACCGGGTGTCTCTCTGGGTGAGGTGAGGTATCCTTGGCGAGTTGACGTAGCAGTGCGTTGGTGCGGCGCATTCGGGCTGCCAACTTCTTTGTTGCCTCCGCTGCCGTGGCTTCTTTAAGGGCATTGGTGAGGCTGATGTCCCCCTTAGCCATAATTTTGCTCTGGATCATGCCGTCTTCTAGGCCCAGAACCAGGCGGTCCCGGAGGGCTTCTTCTAAGTCGGAGAATCCGCAGAGGCCTCCCAGGTTTCGGAGGTCCGCGATGTAATTGGCAAGGCTTTCGCCCTTCTGTTGGTCCCTCTGGTAATATTCGTGTCTTCTGACTAAGGTTGGCACGGTGGGCGCGTAGTGAGCCCGTAGTAAAGGCTCAAGGACGTCCCAGTCCATCTCTTTTACTTTGGCTGGCTTGGCAAGTGATTTTGCCATTTTAAACACGGTAGGCCCGCAGTGAGTTAGAAAGATAGCTCTTTTTTTGCCGGTTGTTGCATCTTTCAAATTGTTGGTCTCCAGAAACATCTGGAACCGATCCATGTATGACTCCCAGTCTTCGGTTTCTGGGTTGAATGGAGCGGGTGGTACGGCACCGCTGGCCATGTTGCCGTTGATGGTGCGTGTTCGACCACGTGCTCTGTGTGTTGCTCTGTAGATCAGTCAGCTCTTCGGTCTCCGGATCCCACCTTCGTCGCCAGTGTTAAGTTTGGAGAGTAATGGAGACCAGACATCTGACAAGTGACTTCAACTCTTTAATAATAATAACAGAACAGAACAGAGCAAGGCTATGGGCAACAGCAACCCTTTTATAGGGTTCTCTGCTACCTTATTAACCAATGACATGTGCAACAAGTTCAAACTTATAACCAATGAGAAGTGTCAAAATAGTAGCCAATCAGGGACTAGTTATGGACCAATCCCTAGTTGTTGTATAAGGGCCAATCAGGTGTTCAGGTTTCCAAACCCTGATTTGCATTTATGCTAGTAACTTTTATTGATTCACAACAGAAAGGTTGTGGGTAAAAGCATCTCCAAAGTTACTGGCAGAGGGGTGAAAACCATGCCCTGCCCTCAAATTCCAGCTAGGAAGGGAGGGTGCTATACTACCAAGGTTGTATTTCAGGTCAAGAAGAGGATTTTTAAAATGCTGATGATTGTACAGCAGTTGGGAATGCCTCTGTAGTTGGAACTTCTAGTTCTTTATTTTAGGCAGGATGGAATGGATCACTTTGTTAAAAGGACTATTAAACTATTAAACTATTAAAACTATTAAACCACCAGCTTTCTTCCTTTCCAGGGATCATCAGTTCTTTCCTAGTAAGGCGTTATTGTCTTCACGGTGCTTGAGAAAGATAAGGAAAGCTGAAAAGCAATGCAAGTTCAGGATAGTTATTCATTCTTCCATTATGTGGAAAGTATATAGGTAGCTCTCCTGTTTATCAAAGGGTTGTTGCCAGTGGTGGGATTCAAATAATTTAACAACCAGTTCTCTGCCCTAATGATTTCTTCCAACAAGCAATTCACCAAACTGCTCAGAAAGTTAACAACTGATTCTCCCGAACTGGTGAAAACTGGCTGAATCCAATAACTGGTTGTTGCCCCCTTTTTGCCAACTGAGAGATAGAAGCCTCTGTGATGACCTTGTTTTTTACCAAGACAAGATTTGGAATCTCTTGGTATATTCCAGATGTTCTTTTAAGGGACATTGTTCTGTTCTCCGTAGGTGAAAAGGGCTCTGCTGGGATACCTGGAAAAGCTGGACCAAAGGGAGACAAAGGAGACAAAGGAGACAATGGTAATGTATCTCCAGAGATCCATTTTTGAATGAGGGAGATTTATGGAAATCCCAAGCCTCTTGGCCTCCAAATAAATATTTTTACTTTTATACTTTGTGATCACTCTGCAAGACAAGTTCTTTGCAAGTGTATTTTCTACATGTCTATTCCTCTATGCAAGAAAATAGATAGCAAATTTGCATAAAAAGGGGTGTTGTTAAACAGATAAATTAGGGTTAGTCAGTTAGTAAGATGATTCTTAAGGAAATCTGGCTTCCCCAGCGGCTTTGATTATCAGAAAGTTGCCAAGGTGATGACAAGATGCTGGAAAACTTCAGCCATTATAAATAGGTTGCCAAGTTGCCAAGCTTCTGAATTTTGATCATGTGAATAGAGAGATGCTGCAACAGTTGTCATAAGTCATAAGTCACATTTTTCAGTGCCGTTGTAACTCTGAACGGTCATTAAATGAATGGTTATAAGATGAGGAGAAACTGTGAAATAGTTCTCATCTTCATATTTCCTTTTACTTGGAGCCTTGAGTCTGTTCAGCTCAAAAGCCATTTTTTTCTCTCTTTCCACAGGGGAACCCTGCCACTCAGAAGGGTGTCAGCGGGAAGGTATGTCAATAACCTTTGCTTATTCAGTCACTTCAAACCCCCAGATAATTGGCACAAATGCTTTCAGCTTGGTTTTATCTTCGTTTTCATCTCCCTTTTTTGATCTTTATCACCCAGGATAAGAGCAAAACTGCCTGAACGGGCTAGAATGGATGTTTGGAATAGTACAAATTCTCTTATCACAGTTTAAGGATCGTTGTGATGCATTTCATCTGCACATATCAGCTTTCCCCAATCTGAGTCTTCTAAGAATGTTAGACTCTAGCTCCCATAATCCCCCCCCCCCCTGATAATTAATGGCTCTAGTTAGGAGAAAGCTGCTACACATTTAAATGCTGTATGTTTCATTCAGGTCTTGAAGGATCTATCTATACCTACATTGGATATGAGATTGATGGCATATAATTTTTTACAAATAAGTAAATAAATGTTTCCTTTAATTTTTTAAATAATATTGCAAACCAATGTGTATCCATTCTCCTACAATAGGCATGATGGTGATTCCACTGGAGAAGTTCTTGCATAGAAACCTGTAATTGTCCCATCACATATATTTTCAGAACAGAGAGAATCTGAACTGATCCACATATCCCACCCCAAGCCCCCTATTCCTCTCTCAGAGGGAAGAGCCAGAAACTGCAAGGAGCTCCATGAACAAGGAGAGACTCTCACTGGCTGGTACACCATCTATCCAATCCCAGGAAAAGTGATTGTCATGCCCCTGGTGGAGACTGACTCTGAGAAAGAGGAGGAACAGCCAACAGGGAGTGGGAGTGTGGCTCCAGAGGTG